CTGATATCTAGATCAGTTTATGTCAGTATCTGCTGCACTGTTATAAAGATCTCATTGATTTACATCACAAGCAGCAGAACTTCATCATAGAAATATCAGCATCTGCAGCAAAATTGATCAGTTTGAGTCTCTGAATAAAAGTCTCTGTTTTTTCCTCCATATTCTCACTGTATCAAGACTATATGAGCCATAAAAGCCTGATTAGATCAAATATGATACTCAACAAAAAACACAAATGTGACCCTGGAGCACAAAACCAGTCATAAGGGTCAATTTTTCGAAATTTATGCATTAAAACTTTATTATTATAAGCTAGAATAATAATTATTATATTTTATTCATTAAAGTAGTAAACGTTTATGGAGTACAATAATATCCTACACTGTAATAAATATACTTTAAATGCTTTATTATTATAAGCTACAATAATAATTGTTATATTTTAAGTAGAAAAAGTTTATGGCATACAATGATATCCTATACTGTAATAAATATATCCTGCAAATACTTTATTATTATAAACTATTATAATAGTTTTTTTTATATATATATACATATTTTTTATCAATACTAATAGCTATATAGTGTACTTTTTAATTTACTCATCATATTTGGCTTAATGCTAGGCTCATGAATATTAATTATATTCTGGAGAGGAAAGTTCAAGAAAGTTCCCCAGCAATGTCAGCAGGAACTCATTAATATTCATAAGCTCAGCCTTAGGTCATGATGTCAGAACCAGCCTCCTCCCCAAGTTTAAAACAAACTAGTGAACACACCACTAATGCTTAGTTACAGAATGGGACAGTAGCGCCACCTGCTGCTGGAATGTGAAATGAGCTTACTGGCTACCACAGAATCCATGAGATGCATGCATACAATTAAATATGTAAATGAGAAAAGCTGATTTCTGATTATTTGTTGCTCTTTAAATTTAACTTTTAGAATGTGATGCAAAACCGTATATGTAGCGGTAAATAAAATAAGATTGACTTTGATTAAGTCAAAGTGTGGTGTGTTATCACCGAAGATAAATTTGTTATTGTTGCTACACAAACAAAGGTGAGAAAAAACATAATATGAAAAAACAATATTTCTCCGTTAGGTCTCCGGCGACCAGCCCGACCCCTCAGAGACGGGCCCCTCCTCCGGGGCCTCCGGCACGCCCAGGTTCTCGCGGCTCGGCCCCGGGGCCCCCTGCTGCCGGCGGGCCACCCGTTCCCTCTCGCCCGGGAGCCTCTCCCGACCCCTTCGGCGGGCCCCCACCTCAGGTCCCGTCCCGGCCTAACCGCGCACCTCCCAGCGTGCCCAGGTGAGACTCGATTACCTCAGACAGTAGAAACTGCTAATGAAACAGTGCATTTGTGCTGGAAAACAATAATAACGCGCTCAGATTTGAGACGCGTGTAATTTCTGCGACACTAACTCCATCTAATGAAATTGCAAACTGTGGGTATATATGTTTGTCATAACAATGGAAGACAACCAATTGCATCTGATGACGCTAGTGCAGCAGAAATGATACGCAATGTACATGAAACATTCAGAAATGCTCAAACAAGACTAACCTTCTAGTCCTGCAGTCTAATAAGAACATCCGTTTGCTCTTAGCCGCGGAATGTGAGACTGTAACCGCTGGAGTAAGAGCAGTGGTGTGGGTGAGTTAACCGGTCACCATACCAACGTTTAAACGATAAGCAGCCATCACCGAAACTCAGCTCATTGTTAATCAAAGTGTCATCAAATCAGATTCAGATGTCCACAGTCTGGCGTCCTGCTTCTAACTCTTATTATCGTTCAAACGTTACAGATTTAAACCATTTGATGCACAGTGTGTTCTCAGTAGAGCTGGGTGATAGAGCAAACGTTCACTGGGATTTTGCATTGGATCATTAGACTCGGTTCAGGATCCTTCCTTTTCTCGTGACAGAAATCTCTGCGTGGCATTTTTCATATATTAAAAGGTTTAAAAGAACAGCATTTATTTGGAATAGAAATCTTTATGATTTCAACGATACTGTAAATTATAAATATTAATTAAAAAATATTTATATTTAAATAGTTGTTTAAGTATTGAGGTTTTATATTTATAATATAAATAAAAATGTGTAAAGTAATAATTTCTTTACAAAAATATCTTACCCCAAACTTTTAAACGGTACTTAATATACAGGTATGAATTAAAAAAATTACAAACTGATTACTTTAACTATCTTTTCCCTGCAGTTACATCTTGTATTTAGCATTTTGAATGATTGTTTGACTGAAATGATGGTTCATCAAAATATCATCAAAAGGCTTATAAATATGCTTTATATGACCCAGCTCTAATAGTCAGCATATCTCATCTATGAATGTCTCGATCACGTCGGCTCACATCAGACGCTTTACTAACTGTCCACAGGACGGCCTGAGGGATGTTTATGTTCTCTTTGCTTTTATTTGTGTTCATTCTTAAATTTGTCCTCTGTTGCGTGTGATTTGACTCGTTGTAACACTAACGGCAAACACTTGCTTCCTGACAGCAACACACACACACACACACACACACACACACTCTCACTCACACACACTCTCACTCACACACACTCTCACTCACACACACTCTCACTCACACACACTCTCACTCACACACACTCTCACTCACACACACTCTCACACACACACACACTTCCCAGCAGTCACTCACACACCTTTCATTCTGACCTTTTTAATGCTTTTAAAGTCCCTGATAAATGATCTGCAAAACCTCTGAATTGCAAAAATCAATTTTAAAAACCCATCACGGCTTAAGATGATTATGACTTATTGCTGATGCTTTTGAATTCATAATTGGCTGTTAAATCTTCAGGCAGAGGTTTTGGACGTCAGTCTCTGGTTAGCTTGGATTGGAGAAGTGTTGATGTTTCTGTCTCCTCCATGTTAACCGTGTGTGTCTCGCACATCCTCCCATCGCTCTGGCTCCACCCCTTCTGCTGATATTGATTATTTTTCACAGAATTACAATCAGTGACCAATGAGGACGAACGCTTCTGGTACGTCTGTGGTTCTCTCGCCATTCCCCGTCCCTCTCTGCATGACCGACTGTCTCTGAGACCCTCCCACACACACATACAACAGTCCAGAAATGATCTATTGGGACGTCTTTATCCGACAGTACAAATAAACAATAACAAACTCTTTACATGGGAATGTTCTAGTTAAATACAACCGAAGCTCTGCGTGACATGCTGTTGGAGTCAGTATTACAGTATGTTCTGCGGTAAATCGACAGCATATCATGTTGTATTTAACACAGAATCTGTTTATAGCAGAACTAAATCACTGAATGTGAAAATCTTTCAGACAGCCACTCAAATCCTCGTCCAGCTTGCATCTCGTATGCTGATTTAGTAGATGGACAGCAGGTCTCAGAACAGATTCTGTAATGTGCAAACATTACATCAGTTCTCTGAATGATTTATTTTCAGTTTTATTTAATTTAATCCAGATCTGAAAAGCCTTTCCTTCTGCGGCCCCGTGCACTTGTTTTATTTCAGTTTTGCCATCGTTATTTATGATCCCTCTTAATAAAAACCACTACAAACATCCAGTCAAACGCTGCACTTGTGACCTTTAGGGTGAAACTGAACAGTGGGGTCAAAGGTGAAGTGTCAGATGTATTTTGTCCATGTTGTTCGTCTCTTCATGGCATCTCATTCTGTCATGGTGTGATCTCTAAATGCTGTAAAGCAACTTTTACCACATGTCTATGTCTGATCAACCACACAACAGATGCACAGATCTATCACTCATTAGTAATACATAATAAACAGCAAATGGAATTTACTACCGGTAATTAATTACATTTTATTTGTTTAGATTTCATTTAATTTTACATTTTTGTAAATTGTATTACCCTTTATTTTATGTAACAATTATTAATTAATAATTAATTATTTAATTAAGAATCTTGTTAAATTATTACTGGAGATTGTATATTTTTTAATTATTTCTTTTAGAATTTAATTATTTTATTATTATGAAATTAATTTCTTATTTTGTTTAGATAATGTCAGAAATGCTTTTCAAATAAATATCATTTATTGAATTTTTTTATTGAATAAAAAGTATTAGTAATATTACTAAATAATAATTATTAGATTTTATATATTTTTAGCTATTTCTTTTAGAATTTATTTTAATATCATTAAATTAATTTCTTGAATTTATTTAGATAATGTCAAAAATGCAATTTCATTTTTTTTTAAATAAATAAATAAATAAAGGTATTATTAATAATTAATTTAAAACTTATTTTATTAAAAAGTTATTAATATTATAACCAGAGATATTTGATTCATAACTTTGGCAAAACTATGAAATTAAATATCCATTAAATATCTTACTTTTATGAACTCTAATAAGAGAAAATTAGTCAGTTTCTCAGTGCAAAATATTTTTACTTTCTCATGTGAATGAAATTCTTTCACATTTAATGAACACAATTTTGTGAATGTTTGCTCTGTGTGTGTGTGTGTGTGTGTGAGTGAGAGAGTGTGTGTGTGTGTGTGTGTGTGTGTGTGTGAGACTGTGTGTGTGTGTGTGTGTGTGTGTGTGTGTGGTACTCATCCATCTTCTCTCTGTGTTCCCATGGCAGCCGGCGACCCCCAGCATCACCTACTCGACCTAACTGACCCACAGACTCCTCCCTCTTAGACTATTAGCCCCTCCCACACCCGTGACAGACAGCGAGGACAGACACGCCCACCCAGCCAGAACTCCTCCCCTTCTCCTCAACTCACACACATTAATACACATACACAGTAAAGCCTCACTTGGACAGCACAACAACTCAACAACCCTCTGTCACAAGTTTAACCGTTCATTTCATATCATTTTGTCATCGTCAAACCAAACTTTAGAAGACTTTATTTATTTTCACCATGGCTCCTTATCTTGACTTAGCTTGACAAGAGAAGTTAGATGAATGAGCACAGGGTTTGATAAATGCATTTCTGTTGCCTAATTTATTTTCTGTCGTTTTTAAGCTTCTTTTGGTTCTCAGACGCTTGATTTCCTGCAGTTTATGGATGCATTATCTCTCCAAAGTGTGATCTGGAGTCTCATGATAACTGCATCTTCTGGAATGAGCTCGTGTGCATCTGTATTTCTGTTCATTACTTTGGCTCTTCTTGTTTTTGTTTCGTATGTGTGTCGGGCTGCAGTGGTCCCTGAGCTCACGGGCCAGAAGACGACACCAGACTCCCCGAAGGGTAATACACTTCTTACTGTATGTAGGCTGAGAAAGTCACTGACAGTAGAGTTGCACACAAAGCTTGGACAAAGTTGTTTAAATGTAAACATTAGGCCATTAAGTCAACACAATGCATTAATATGAAATAATCATATCTGTAGTTCACATCAATTTCACTACAACACAATATACAGTGGCTGTGAACATATTTGGACACTTAAGCCACAGTTAAAAGTCTAAATGTCATTTCATTAGAGGTGTTTATGAGGAAAACTCAACTGATTCAAACGAGTCATATGGTTCATAAAATTATTCACTTTTTCGAAGCGCGCGCTGGCGACACCTGCTGGTCGAAACTGTGTCAATGCAACGAGAACATAGTACAAAAATATGTTTTAAGATCAGTGTTTGATTGATCAGGCCAATTAGAGACACGTCATCGACACTGATCTTAAATGATAAAACTGACCCTAGATCAGTAAAACATTAGACACTGGTTCATGTGTTCACTGAGATCTTCCGTCGACACTGAATCGCACGACTCCGAACCACTGATTCAAATAGAAAGATTCGAATCTTCATGCGGCAGTGTTTAGAAAGCGCCCATCACTAAAGCAAAACAAACTAGTTTAAATCAGCTCCTATAATCATTAAACACTTGGTTTAACAGTTCAGAGTGTTGTTTACTGCACGGCGGCAGAGATTAATCAAAGTCTTACCTGCTGTCGATACAACAGTGAGACGCTGAAGCACCTATTTTTCCTCCCGTGACATTTAAACCGGGCTCACGTTGAAAACACACTAAGTTTGTGTGTGCACCATCGTCTCCTGAGGTAATTCCAATTAAAATAAATAAAATATCAACCAAACATTTCATTTTCACCCTAAAAGCAACACAGAAATCCTCTGAGGGCATCTTGAACCGAGCAGCACTAACCGTTATAGACGCAAATGGCAGCCGACGACCCCCAGCATCACCTACTCGACCCAACCGACCCACAGACTCCTCCCTCTTAGACTAGTAGCCCCTCCCACATCAGTGACAGGCAGCGAGAACAGACACGCCCACTCAGCCAGAACTCCTCCCCTTCTCTCTCCTCAACTCACACACACATTAATACACATCATACAACTCTACAACCCTCTGTCACAGTTTAACCTTTCATTTCACATTAATTCTGTCATCATCAAACCAAAATGTAGAAAAGGAAACATACTTGAGGAACTATTGACATCTTGAGAGCTGGAAGTTCGAAAGCCCTTATTTAGGAAACGTAGAACACAACATTTTTATGAACTCAAACTCTTTGACAGACGGTTGATGAGTTTTACATCACTGTTTATGCTGCTTATCTTCAAGAATGAGCTTGATAAGAAAAGTTAGATGAATGAGCACAGGGTTTGATAAATGCATTTCTGTTGCCTAATTTATTTTCTGTCGTTTTTAAGCTTCTTTTGGTTCTCAGACGCTTGATTTCCTGCAGTTTATGGATGCATTATCTCTCCAAAGTGTGATCTGGAGTCTCATGATAACTGCATCTTCTGGAATGAGCTCGTGTGCATCTGTATTTCTGTTCATTACTTTGGCTCTTCTTGTTTTTGTTTCGTATGTGTGTCGGGCTGCAGTGGTCCCTGAGCTCACGGGCCAGAAGACGACACCAGACTCCCCGAAGGGTAATACACTTCTTACTGTATGTAGGCTGAGAAAGTCACTGACAGTAGAGTTGCACACAAAGCTTGGACAAAGTTGTTTAAATGTAAACATTAGGCCATTAAGTCAACACAATGCATTAATATGAAATAATAATATCTGTAGTTCACATCAATTTCACTACAACACAATATACAGTGGCTGTGAACATATTTGGACACTTAAGCCACAGTTAAAAGTCTAAATGTCATTTCATTAGAGGTGTTTATGAGGAAAACTCAACTGATTCAAACGAGTCATATGGTTCATAAAATTATTCACTTTTTCGAAGCGCGCGCTGGCGACACCTGCTGGTCGAAACTGTGTCAATGCAACGAGAACATAGTACAAAAATATGTTTTAAGATCAGTGTTTGATTGATCAGGCCAATTAGAGACACGTCATCGACACTGATCTTAAATGATAAAACTGACCCTAGATCAGTAAAACATTAGACACTGGTTCATGTGTTCACTGAGATCTTCCGTCGACACTGAATCGCACGACTCCGAACCACTGATTCAAATAGAAAGATTCGAATCTTCATGCGGCAGTGTTTAGAAAGCGCCCATCACTAAAGCAAAACAAACTAGTTTAAATCAGCTCCTATAATCATTAAACACTTGGTTTAACAGTTCAGAGTGTTGTTTACTGCACGGCGGCAGAGATTAATCAAAGTCTTACCTGCTGTCGATACAACAGTGAGACGCTGAAGCACCTATTTTTCCTCCCGTGACATTTAAACCGGGCTCACGTTGAAAACACACTAAGTTTGTGTGTGCACCATCGTCTCCTGAGGTAATTCCAATTAAAATAAATAAAATATCAACCAAACATTTCATTTTCACCCTAAAAGCAACACAGAAATCCTCTGAGGGCATTTTGAACCGAGCAGCAATAACCGTTATAGACGCAATATGGCGCCAAATCTTGAAGCGCGAACGCGGAGTGATACGAGACGCGGGAAAGTAGTACCGGCATAGCGACAAAATATTTCTCAAGATTATAAGTTAAACGTGTTTGTTTAAGGTTACAGTTAATATATTAGTTAAAATAAAAATATTGTAATGGAATCAATTAAAAAACACCCGATGAGCGCTGATTATTCAGGCATATTTGACCACTAAATGACGTGACTGACCAATCAGAATGAAGTATTCTAGACCGAGGGGGAAAAAACAGTCCGACAACAACAACAACTAATAAAAATAAATAAAATCAAAAATACTTTTAAAATAATTGTTTTATTAAAATAATTAAAAATTTAAAAATAAATAATGCAGTACAGTACTATAATGAGTAGAAAAATGTCAAAAAAGTTGTCAAATAATATTTTTGGCATTTTATAGTATTAATTTGGGTCTTTATACATGAAAATATATAATATAATATAAAATATATACTTAAAAAAGTTTTAAAAAAGAATTTGATTTTATTTTCATCCAATGATTGACATTTAGACATTTTAGATGCGACTTTAGTGAACAAATGCTTTGTGTGGCCACTATATTACATTTGTACTTGATTCTAAACTATTGTGTAACATTCAAATGCTTCTCATTAATGAAAGTTCCTCAGAGGTTTGAAGCAGGGATCGTGGGGTTTGTCTTCTCTCCGTGTGACTCCGAGGACAGTTTCTGCAGAGCTTTCTTTTGTCTCGATGCTTACTCTTCTGTCTTCTTTCCTTCTCTGCTTTCATGGCTCAGCGGCCCTTCTCGCCCCGAGAGCCCCTTTTCTCCACGCGACCCTTAGCATCGTTTTCTTCTTCTGTTTTCCCCCACATCGAGTTAAACCCACCAGCATTGCATCGGACACGAGCAAAGAACACGGAGGAACCCAAAAACCTTCCAGATGTTTTGAGAAACCAGTTTCTGTCTTTGGTTAAACCTCCTTCAAGCTCATTGTGGAGATCCAGTATCACAACCATCAAGCCTTCTAGAAACTCCTCACATTGTGACCCTTTAAAAATGTCGTGTACGAGTTTCTTTCTTCCGTGGAACACAAAAGAAAATGTTCCAACGGTTTCAGGTCCCATTGACTTGCATGGTACGGACAAACAATACTGCGGAAGTCAATGGGACCCAAAACGGGTTTGGTTCCCAACATTCTTCAAAATATTGAAATCCTGAAGTTGTTTATTATTTTGCAGTGCAAACGTGCCGATGTAAGAGCTCTCCGGTACGAGGACGTGTGTTCACCCTCAGTGCTTGTGCTCAGAAATCATTCATTCATTAGTGAACCTGAACCTTCGGTGGGGCTGGATTGAATTAGAGAGTGCAATATATTCACCGGTCAGCCGTATCTAGACGCTGACCGCACGTTCATGTCATTTAATACACAAATAGTGCCGTTTTAGGGTGAACAGACGTTCTCGAGTTCGGTGAGACGCTTGTGTGTTTACACTTCTTTTAATAAATCGAGACTAATGCTGAAGACTGTTCAGGACGAATGATCACGCCGGGATGGTTGGATGTTTGGAAGTGAATACTTGCTGTACAGTATATACTGTTTACTAACAAATAGCATGTGAAAGTGCACTATTCAATGTTAAACAGTAGTATGCAACATTGTCGACTCACTGCATGTTTAATTCAGCAAGCTGCATTCAGATATTAAGTCATTTTTGCATTTTAAAGTCTGAACAAACTCAAATCTGCACATTTTTTGGTCATTAGGGTATCCATACAGAACATTTGCATACTGTGCATAGTGTACATACTGCAGAAATAGTAACAGTTGTGTGCTATTCTGAACATGAAGTTGATTAAAGGTGCTGTAAGAGATTTTTAGTTTCCATCACGTCGATCAAGCCACAACTCTTTTTTGGCATTAAAAATAGTTTAAAGCACCTTTAAACATCACCGATGGACATTTTTTCACGTGTGCGTGGACAGCTGTCCCTCGTGCATTGAAATTATGCAAAGTTTTGTCAGTAATTTAAGGTTCATTACGAAAATCAAGATCTAGCAAAAAGAGAAACGTAAAATATCACTCGTTTGTTCTGATGTTGTTTTGTTGAAAATGAGAAAATATGAGCGCAACCCTCCACAACGGTGAACTGTAATTCTGTTGTTTGTTGTAATAATAATAATAATAAGTATAAATATGATAAAGCCCCTGTTGCTAATAGTTGACGTTGTAGCATGACCAGACCGTCTGCAGATTCAACTGTACCGTATCTATAGTGTTTCCGTCCTCATCATTCACTCCAAACCTTCCCTGAATCCACTCTGAGTCTTAGTAAAACCCACTAAGCTGAGAAGATTTATGGTTATTTAAGAGTTAAAGCGTTTGTCATGGACATACTGTATCTTAAGTGTTGCGTATCTTTGTGGTGCATTTGCAAATTGTGCTTCTACTGTTTAGAGACTAGTCCACATGTATGATTACTGAATATTTAATTATTATGGGTGATTTATTTAAATTAAGCTAATGAAATGGAGAGTGTGGCGGAAGAAACCGGGCCTCTTTCTGTGTTTGGACAGAAGGTGTTACAATACTGAGTGTGTAACGTGTCTCTGCTTGGACGAGTTTGTCATCATTAAAGTTCAGTGTACCAAAATGTTGTTTTTGTGTCACTTTTTGTCTTCAGAGGGTTTAAAAGATGTATTAGCCGTTTAGAAATAAAATCATGCGTAATTATCACATAACATGTCTTATGACAAAAGTCAAAACTGACATAATAAATCATTAAAAAAAAAGTATGATAAAAAGGCATAATTATGATGTCAATTATGAGATAATCAAAATTATGAAATACCAAGTCAAAATTATGAGATGATAAAGTTAGGAGATAAGATCTACGTAGTCATGATTATAATATAAAAAGTCATTTATGAGATAAGTCAATTATGACATAAAAAGTGAACTATGAGATAAAAAGTAAAAATTATGACATGATTATGAGGTCATTGATATTGAGGTCATGATTATGAGATAAAAAGTCATTTATGAGATAAAGTAAAAATTCTGACACAAGGTCATGATTATGAGATAAAAAAAAGTCATGAGATAAAGACCTACTAAGCCATAATTATAAGATAGTCATAATTATGAGATAAAAAGTAAAAATTCTGACATACGGTCATGATTATAATATAAAAAGTCATTTATGAGATAAAAAGTCAATTATGAGATAAAAAGTAAAAATTCTGACACAAGTTCATGATTATGAGATAAAAAGGCATTTATGAGATAAAAAAAGTCGTGAGATAAGACCTATTAAGTCACAATTATAAGATAAAAAGTCATTTATGAGATAAAAAGTGAATTATGAGATAGAAAGTAAAAATTCTGACATGATTATGAGGTCATTGATATTGAGGTCATGATTATGAGATAAAAAGTCATTTATGAGATAAAGTAAAAATTCTGACACAAGGTCATGATTATGAGATAAAAAAAAGTCATGAGATAAAGACCTACTAAGCCATAATTATAAGATAGTCATAATTATGAGATAAAAAGTAAAAATTCTGACAAAGTCATGATTATAATATAAAAAGTCATTTATGAGATAAGTCAATTATGACATAAAAAGTAAAAATTCTGACACAAGGTCATGATTATGAGATAAAAAGGCATTTATGAGATAAAAAAAAGTCGTGAGATAAGACCTATTAAGTCACAATTATAAGATAAAAAGTCATTTATGAGATAAAAAGTGAATTATGAGATAGAAAGTAAAAATTCTGACATGATTATGAGGTCATGATTATGAGATAAAAAGGCATTTATGAGATAAAAAAGTATTGAGATAAGACCTAGTAAGTCATAATTATAAGATAAAAAGTCATAATTATGAGATAAAAAGTAAAAATTCTGACAAAGTCATGATTATAATATAAAAAGTCATTTGTGAGATAAAAAGTCAATTATGAGATAAAAAGTAAAAATTCTGACAAAGTCATGATTATAATATAAAAAGTCATTTGTGAGATAAAAAGTCAATTATGAGATAAAAAGTAAAAATTCTGACAAAGTCATGATTATAATATAAAAAGTCATTTGTGAGATAAAAAGTCAATTATGAGATAAAAAGTAAAAATTCTGACAAAGTCATGATTATAATATAAAAAGTCATTTGTGAGATAAAAAGTCAATTATGAGATAAAAAGTAAAAATTCTGACAAAGTCATGATTATAATATAAAAAGTCATTTATGAGATAAAAAGTCAATTATGAGATAAAAAGTAAAAATTCTGACATAAGGTCATGATTGTAATATATAAAGTCATTTATGAGATAAAAAGTCGCGAGAAGACCTATTAAGCCATAATTATAAGATAGTTATGAGAATCATAATTATGAGAAAAATGTTAAATTACGACATGAGGTCATAATTATGAGACAAAAATGCATATTGAGACATGAAAACTCAATTGTGGAATAAAGTCAAAATTATGCTACTAGGTCATAATTATGAAAAAAGTAATGACCTACCAAGTCATAATTATGAGATAGATAAAACTCAATTATGACAAAGTCGTAATCATGAGATTAAAAAGTCAAAATTATGACATACTAAATCATAATTATGATAAAAAGTCATGAGATAGACCTACAGAGTCATAATTATGAGATAAAAGGTCAAAATTATGACGAAATCATAATTATAAGATTAAAAGGTCAAAATTATGACAAAATCATAATTATAAGATTAAAAGGTCATAATTATGACAGGCCAATTATTGGATAAAAAATCAAAATGATGACATACTAATTAATAATTGCAATTATGAGATGAAAAGTCAAAACTTTGAAATAAAAAGGCAATTATTGTCATTATTTGACTTGTCATGCGTCATAAATAGCATGCTTTTTTTCTCGCTGAGGTCATTAAAAGCACGCCGATTAAAACAGTTTTAGCAGTACATTGTCATTACATACAACGAATACTTGAAATCATGCATTGCATTAAAAATGTCAACCTCAAACGTCACAGTCTTATGAAAAGAACATGAAATCATGAACTTCAGACATAAAACGCTCTTCATTTTGCTCAATCAGGTTTATTTAGGAGGCAAATCATCACTTGAACTACGCATTATTCCTTCATTGTGTTCCATTAGTCTGAATTAAAACAGATTAGTGTGTAATTATCCCAAATAAATAGAATTCTCCTTTAGTTCAGCCGCAGTATGAAACCACACAAACATCCCGTCCTCTCTTCGCACTAGATTCATCCGAGTCATCAGCAGGCAAACGCAAGCCTTCCTCCAGTCAATATACAGTATGATACACAGTTACACTATTTACACGTCTGTTACATGAACAAGCAAAACAATCAACGTCTGATTAAAGCCCACGCCCAAAAGAATCACTGTAAAATATATTCATACATGAACGCAGATAGAGATGATGTGCAATGATGCTTCAGAGTACAGCAGGGTGAAATACTCTGGTACTGCAGCCCAAACACAGTATTCAGATGTAAACTCAATCGACATGCTTCCAGTTATACCCACATACATGAGTCCACTTGAATTCTTCAGCTGTAAATAGATAAAGCAACGCTTTCTATGAAGCCTGTGTAAATATAATGCATTAGAGAGCCATGCACAATGCATTCTACTTCAGAACTGGCTGAATGTTTTTGTAAATAAATCTATGCATACAATTCTAAAGAGCATAATGCATCTAAAACAGCCTTATGCAATGCACAACGCTCTTTAAAGGTGTAGCTGCGGTTATAATTATTTACACAAACATACAAGACACGAAGAAGAGCTTTATCTTCACAGAAAGTGTTGCCAGCGATTGCAAACCCCCGTAACGCTGCTGAACATATCTCTGTATCTGAGGATGTTTATGGATGAACTCACCGTTCAAGCTTTGCTCATGTAAGAGGAATTATTACAAATCGTTTTCTCTAATATATATATATATATATATGTACAGCTCTCACAAACGCTCGATCATTCACTCTACATACGAACAACACTCAAAACTCTCGGCTGACGGTCGCTAGCGTCATAGAGTTAGCTGCAAACAATCGCCAACATCTCGAAAGCTTCGACATCTGGAAAAAACACAAGGTGCTCGCGTGTTTGTAGGGAAGAGATTATAATTGCATTTTTCAATAAATCCCAATTGGAAAAGCAAAAACAACCCGGTTTGTGTCCACTGAACACTCTCGGCTCGGCTCTAACCTAAAGTGTGATGCATGCGTGAATTTATGAATTTATGTTTTAGTTCTGATTCAGTTTCTGCATGTCATTACCTTCTCGATACTCTGCCCCTACATGCTTCATAATCGGATTCTCTCAGAAAACTCATCTTAATCCAGACCTGCTTTATGATATCAATGCTACTCATCGCTGTACCCTAGTTAGTGTGCGAGTTCACTATCCCACCCGGCATGGATCTGAATCATACTGATCTGTCACCTGTCTATTGCACTTATTTGATAAAGTAAAAGAGGACAAATGTATCAGGGAAAAGACACAGAGCAGAACTGGTTTACACACAAACCAAACGGAGCCAAAGAGCTTCCGAATGCATCGGATTTCTCTTATCCACTGAAGAAAGCAGAGAAACTAAGAGGAAACCCCATTTAATACGTGTGTGCGTATTGTCAAACGGAGACGGAGAGACAGACGCGGTCACACCACCAGGATCTTGACCTCGTCGTGCTCGTCGGGCCGGTAGAAGAACGGGATGCAGGGGTTTTCTGCCAGGAAGGGAGCGGGTCTGGCCTGAGGATTCTGGATCTCCTGCAGCAGCTGCATGATCTGGCGGGCCGTGCCGTCCTCTGTGGGTCTCAGGGGGGCGGATCCAGGCCTCTCTGGACTCTGGGATTGAGTCTGTGGGTCTGTGCTGGACTGAGGCGCTGTAGACGCCTCCACCGCTGTGCTCAGGTCCAGAACGGCTGAGTGAAGAGGAATACTTTAGGAAAACCACACAGAACTCGTATTACTGTAAACAAGATTCTAATATGATGATGCAAAAACGGTCTGTAGATTCGACAACACTCTTGAATTATCAGAGCTACACGTTGTTGAATTGAATGCTAGATGCAGGTCATTAACCAAAACACAAATAAAGACTTAATGCATAATGTGGGACCTTTGCAAAAACGGAGCACAGAAAATGCCACACATAGATTCTGGGACAATTTTTAAGTGATTAATCAAATAGTTTCATGATTCTCATGCTTTCTGACTAATGAATTTCCACGATTTTTTTCCAGTTGGATTTTTGAAAATAGTATTTCTAGCTGAAAAAATAGTTATAAAATCTATATTAACTATAATGTATTGACTTTTCCTTTTATATTTCAAATTAATATATGAAAATAATATTGTATTTATTATTATTATTAATATTATTAATTATATAGAAACATTTTAAAAGTGAGCATAAGTAGAAAAATTGACATTGACTATATTGTATTGACTTTTCCTTTTATATTTTAAATTAATATGAAAATTACACTACTATTAATAGTATTAGTTATTCTTATTAATATCATTACTTAAATAGAAATAGTTTAAATCTGAGCATAACTAGAAACATTTAAATTAACTACAGAAATTTCCAAGACTTTTCTATTTATATTTTTAATGAATATATTTAAACAATACTGCTTTTAATATTATTATGATTATTTATTTATTAATACTAGTGCTGGGCAACGATTAATTGTGATAGTATGTGTGTGTACTGTGTATATTTATTATGTATATATAAATACACACATGCATGTATATATTTAAGAAAAATATATTATGTTTATATAAAATATATTTATATATATAATATAAATTATAGGAATATAAATATATACACATGTAAATATTTTCAAAATATATACTGTATGTGTGTACACTTATATATACATAATAAATATACACAGTACACAAACATATACCATGTAAACAAAAACTTTTATTTTGGATGCGATTAATCGCGATTAATCGTTGCCCAGCACTAATTAATACTAATATTAATAATTAAATAGAAATCGTTTAAAACTGAGCATAACTAGAAAAAGAGATTAAATCGACTATAGAAATATCCATGACTTTTCCAGGCCTTCTGAAAGCGGAAGCTCCTGTAGTTGAACTGGTTCACTGAATCGACTCATCTGAACGAACTGAAGTTGAACTGGTTCACTGAATCGACTCATTTGAATGAACTGAAGTTGAACTGGTTAACTGAATCGACTCATCTGAACGAACGAAAGTTGAACTGGTTCACTGAATCGACTCATTTGAATGAACTGAAGTTGAACTGGTTAACTGAATCGACTCATCTGAACGAACTGAATCAGTGTGACTGTGCTGTTGTACCGGAACCGTCCGTGTTTCCGTCAGCAGGATGAAGGTGTTCTCCTCCGGAGGACAGGAGGCCGGGGTTACTGACGGCACTCGTGTATCTGCTGTACCATTCGTTACGCTCGCCCACCAGACGCATGACCAGATCCTGCAGCTCCGCTAGCTTCGCCTGAGAACACACACACACGCGTCAACATCAGGCTGCAGACGTCACTCCATCACTCAGCTGCTCCTTGTACCTTCATCTCCTCCTTGTCTTTAGCCAACATGTTGATGTACTGCTCCTTCTCAAAGTGTCTTTGTTTCATGATGGCTCTCTGGTTCTGATACAGCGCGATGTATTCACCTACACACACAACACAACACAACAACAGTCACAAAAAACACATCTATAAACAAAAACAGTATCAAATTTAACTGCTACAGCTCTTATCACTGAATTGAATTTAACAAGTTAAAAAAACTCAAACTTAACCCTAACCCCCCCGCCCCCCTTGAAGGTCAAGTTAATTTTATTTAATTATATTTTCTCTATAGCGCCAGATCACAACAGAAGTCATTTAAAGTTACCTTTCCGATAAAACAGGTCTATACCGTGTTCTTTTATTCAACAAACTAAATAGCCATATGTCATTTATCTTATTTACACGACAGCATGTCATTTCGGTCTCTACGCTATGGTCGCGCTCTCTGTATCACGCACAGCGGAGTTCCGCACGATGCGCGCGCGCACACACACACACACACACAAGTGAGCACACTCCCACTAGTTGTTGTAAATATTAAGCCACAAAACGATTCATATTTAAATATGAATTCTCCGTGTCTCTGTGTCAATGAATGGCGCAGTCGCACGGTTTTGATTACTACTCGTACTGAAGCGCGTGTGACGCTTTCGGTGATTTCACCGTCTGCCGTCTCACTAAATGAGAACATAAATACATGAACAACATCTCCAGAACTGCTCTGAGAGTCACTTCATGAGCAACACAATATTTCTTCAATGTTTTAATTGTAATATTAAACTACATTTATTTTCCAAAAAATACCATTTGTTTAATTTTCATTACTTAAAAGATAAATTAAATGAATGTTTTATGCCATAAAATATGTAAATACACAACACAGAATTTCTGAGCAAAAAATCATAAGGCTATTGTAAGAATAAATGCAACTTGTTATTATGCTTTCAAATAAGTAGACACGCTAAAACAGAATTTGGTTACAATAAAACTTAAGGTTGGAAAAAATAAAACATTTCATAGGGCCCTAAACATGTAATTTTTGATAAACGTTTAATAAATTGATGTTAAATTGTTTAGGTTTCATGATTTTAATTAGTTAGACATGCTTTTTGATTAATACAATTTATTTTAACCATTAATAAGGAGTCCAGAAAAAAACAAAAAAAACAAGGGTGTTTGCTGGAAAAGAAGCTAATGTGCATTAAAAAATGAATTTATAATAATATATCTAGAAATATTTATGGTGTTTTGAAGTGATAACAATACTCATGCATGTCCATTACCGCATTATATCTGATGTATTACTGAATATGGGCATTATTAATTAAACAAAGAAATAGTTTAAAACTGAGCACAAGTAGAAAAATGTATATTGACTATAGGAGCATCCTTTAAAAACATTTAAATTCTAAAATAAATAAATAAATAAAAATAAAATTAATATATTAAATAGTATTATTAGAACTAATTATGAATATTAATACTAATAATTAAATAGAAAGTTTAAAACTGAGCACAAGTAGAAACATTGAAATTGTATTCTATATAGTATTGACTGTGTTTTATGAATATTTTAAAACAATATTGCTATTAATATGTATATCTAGACAGGAGAGTAGTATAAATGAAATAAGCTCTCTGCATGCAGCGGTGTCTGACCGATGGTGTCCGTTTCTCCTGACAGCTGAATGCAGCGGTGCTCCAGCTCCTCCACCCGCTCCTTCAGATCCACCTTCTCCTGCATGAGTGCCATGAAACGCTCCTGGAGTTTCTCCATGGCCACCCGCAGAGCCTCGTGCACCTCCACCGGGACCCCGTCAGAGCCTCCTACAAAAGGTACAGTAATCGTTAGAGAGTAAAATAATAAATGTGACCCTGGAGTCTTAAGTCGCTGGGGTATATTTGTAGCAATAGCCAACAATACATTGTATGGGTCAAAATTA